GTAGAAGTTTGCGACCAAATATCGTTTGGCCGGCGCCATTTTTATGGTGCCAGGAAAGCCGTGGTGTCATTACGTGTCTTAGAATAGTAATAAAAATTTCGCATGTTCACTAGTTAAAATGAACTGATTTAATTCTGAATCCGTTATGTAGATCTCTGAAATACAGAGATGTAATAATTCGGTTTAGAATTATTTCCACAAACAAAGCTATATTAATAACTGAAAATAAATAGGTTACAAAAATGGAATCCTAGAAAAACACGAGATCTTTTCCCTAATATAAAATGATTTGATATTAATGTTTCTTTGTTAGTTCAAAAGAAACTGCTTTTGTTCTTTTTACAGATAGTGAAACCAATTTAAATGAAAAATATAACATTTATCTATTGTTTATTTATAAATATCGTTGCTAAAGGTTCAGTATACACAATAATTCTCTTATTCATGATTATTCACGCACTGTTGAGGATCTATTAAAAAAATAACCAAGTTACAAAATATATTAAATTATTCACTGTAGAACTCAAGTTCTTTGCAGATGCGTTTACCGATTTACTCAAGCTAAAAGTAAGCACTTAGTTACAGCTTTTAAAACGTTTAAGGCTATTTTGAATTAATAGAGAATAAGATTACAATTTACAATGGAGAAGACACTTTAGGTGATTTGAGAGGAATGGACAAACATAATAATTATTGGTTTAGTTATGCACTAACAAAAATTTTTATCATTTGTTTCCAATAAGAGGTGTATACGACGCCTAGTATTTTCAGTTCACAGTCTTGATAAAGAATATTATTTTGTTAAGTAAAAATGTATTATAATTCATTTAAATTGGTTGCATAAGTATATGACGTATAGTTAATTAAGTTATAAAATATATCACTTCGATTGGATTAATCATAGAAAACAGCTTATTTGAGTGATATCATTTTTATGACACAAAATGTATCCAAACACAATTAAAATATTTAAATTATTGTTCAACTTTTAAATATTTGTTAGATGTGCTGTTCATGTGTAAAAAATAAGAACAAAAAAATAAACATTCGTTTAATCTGAATTTCCGTTTGAAATTTAATAAAAATTATGAAAACTTAAAAGAACTTTTACCCACCTCCCTATGCGTGACGATACTCTAGTATAGGAAGATAATTTTTCGATAAATACCCCTTTCATAGATTTAATGATTGTTACACTTAAATGTATTTATTCAAAGTACATAAAAACGTCTGTACATTTTACCTAAAACCTAATTGCTTTCAATACAAAATTACAGAGGCATTTTTCTTCTTTTTTTTTACATTATGATTGCTTCAATCTCTATTTTAGACTCACCTCGAAGTCAATTCTTCAAATCTTTTTTATAAAATAGAAAACCAAGTAATTTTTATTTCGTATTGTATATTTAATTTAACCAAATGTACGGGATTGTATAACTTTTAAATTATTTAATTTACTAGAATTGTATTCTACTGCAATTTTGATTACTATTAAGTACATATTAAAGTACACAATAGAGTTTTCCTCTGATATGTAATAAATTAGTTTAATTAATATTTTACCATATAAATTATTTTAATTTTTACTTTAGTTGTCTAATTGTCAATCGAAAACCCTATTAGATTTTAAAGGAATATTATTGGTTCTAAATTTTTATCAAATATAAAAGAAATAATTGTACTCTGTAGACAAATAAAAATACGTTATTACATTAAAACATTCGTAAAGGAAAAAAGTTACACAGACCCATAAGAAATATTTTCATCAATAAAAAATTAAAATCAGAACTTCCGCAAAACATTTTTTCATCTTTATCCAATCACAAAGTCAGTCTATAAAAATGTGATGACTTAAATCCTAACCATTTTACAAGTGATTATCGAACTAATATTTATCTTAAATACAAACATGGATGCCATACAAAACTGTTAAAAAAATATCCAAACCAAAAAAGTAAACAGCTGCCATACGATAGTATCAAAAATATATTTTTCGAAATAAAACATTGAGATAATCATGAAAATATATCGTTTTGTACCAGACGTGTATCTTCCATTTTATAAAAAAGTGGTATAAACGTTTAATTGGAAAATATATTAACATACAAAACCAATTACCGATTAAATTTATGAATTTTCTACAATTTATTTAGTTTTTCCTTATTTCAAGCTACTAAAAAGAGGTCAAATTTTAAAAACCAAAGTCAATTCATTCAAAATTAGAGAAAATATCCATACATAAATTTATTCATAAATAATTTAAGTAAAACACACTTAGTGACAAAATAATCAGAAAAAAAGAGGAAAACTATCAAAGTCCTTTCTTTCTTCATGATATATCTTATTTTATCTAACAAAATTGATCCATAGGCAAAAGTCATTTGTATAGCTCTTAGGAAGATTTAGAAAAGCCCACCTACTACATAACTGCAAACCGAGACATCAGTTTTAGCTATGGCAATAGAAAAGCATTCCTCAGTATTTCAGGCAATAGGTTTACGCAAAACGGCAAACCACAAAATACTAGACGCCCTGGTGTAGTTGTGACTGGTATGGGACTGCATCGAAGAACTGAGGACATTAACAGACCCAAATAGAGTACAATTCGTTTGCTTTAATAGACCAGTCACGTCATCAATACCGTCTCACCCACTGCCATTTACTGTTAACTGGCCTATTCTTAAAGCAAACGAAGTTTAAAAGTACTTTGAGCTGTACAAAATAAGCCAATAGGTTGCAGTATTATTGGAAACCAAAACAAGACGGGCCTAAGAGGAAAATATCTCTAATAAAAACTATTAAGAATAATTAAAAAAGAAAATGGAAAGTTCTATATTGAAATTACATACATATTATCATGGCAGGGTCATGGGAATCTTTATAATCGCGGGAAGCAGGATTATGCTTGAGTAGTAGTGGGAATATACATTTGTGTGTCTATCAACGACGAACAACTACTAGAATAATTTTGTCTCCAAAAGGCGAATTGCAAGCATTCATGGTGTTATACATAGTTGTCAAATTACTATGGGAGAATCCATCTACAAGGATTGTTAGTTTTAATTCGGACTTTGTTCTTAGCGCTCAAAATTCTCTAGTCAATAAAATATTTAAATATAATGGATTATTCATAATCTCATAATGTTGAAAAATAGGTCGCTTTCAATTTTGCCCTATTTTGGTATAGTTTATTTCAAAATGTAATAGAAGTCACAATTTTTTTAGACGACGATGTAGGTTAAATTGTGGCTACATTTTCAGGGCTCCTGCCGCATAAGCAGCAAAAAACCTTTTAAAATTGTTACAATTTTTATTTTTGATTATGCAGTGGTGGCTGGTGCATAAGTGCTGTGGAGCTGTAGAACGGCCAAAAAATGCAAATATTTCAATTTACAGATTATTATTTTAGACATGCTAAAGTATACGTATAATAGATTTTATGGATAATCTCAATAATTTTAATTTGATTTTATTCAAGAACAGAATTAAAAGAACTTCTTGATCGGTCGTTTTTTAAAATTCGGAACTGGCCTATGGTCAAATTATGTCCTATCATATCCATGTCAATATTATGTAGGAAACGTAAGATTCCTATGTCTGAACGGAGTTGTTCAACTTCAAAAGCGAAGAACATTTTAGAAATTATATATCCTGAAGACAAATTCAGAAAGGATAAAGTTTTAAATGATTTCAAAACTATTTTAAATAGAAAAATCTTTCATAAATGTTGTAAGAATGTCGATAATATAAGAAAAGTGGACCACAGGAAGTATTATAGTCTAGAATATTTACGAAGAGTTGATTGACACGACTTCAGCCAACATTGCGATGCTCCGGATATGGCTGCTGTGCAAAAGTCGGATGTTGCCCGATTTCATAACAATAGTGGTTTTATTTCTCAAAGGGCCACAGTTTTTGAAATGCCTAAACGTTGGAGGTCTGGGCATCTAGTTCTTCTGAACCATCCACGTCTGCCGAACCATCAAAGTCAGTCGAACAACCGTCAACGTCTGCCACACCAGCAACGTCTCCACACCATCAACATCTGCCGAACCCCCAACCATCGACGTCTGGTGGTTTACCTACCAGTATACTGTATACTTATCCAAATTCAAGTTTTTCTGCCTCTGAGCAAGATTTAAATAAATACCTTTGCAGGCAAACATTGGCCAAGAAACCGGTCCCTATCCGAAGAAATGTATTTAACATGCAATTGTAGATATTATATATTTTAATAAAGATTTTTAAAACCAAATAACAAATTATATACTACTTAATAATTAAAATTAATGAGATTATTCATAAAATCAATTTTGCGTATATTTTAGTATGTCTAAAATAATTTCTCTGAAATGTAGATGAGATATTTGCGTTTTTTGGCAGTTTTGCAGCTTTACAGCACTTATGCACCAGCCGCCACTATGACTATGATAATGTTTATTAGTAAATAAAGCTGACTAAAAGCACCTTTAGTTCAATAAATAAAACAACCAATGCTAAAGTTTGTATTGGAAATTTTTATCAAATATTTTGTAATACTAATAATACATTTTCCATATGCTGGCAACTTAATGACAATGTAAAATATCTTGAAAATCTATATGAACTTTAACATCGTTCCCTATGAAAACATATTCGTCAATTATACTTTCTCAAAACTTTAGAATAGAATTTGACAATTAAATCCGTTTTGATCATAGAAATATACTTATTTGAAAGTAGAAATCTTTCTCAGTCTTTTAGGACTCTCGTTTCGTTATTATAATACAAATACCTTTATAGGAAGTGTATTATAATACAATGTTTATATTAGTTTTGTCAGAGGAATGAAACTTATATCATTTGTAGAAGGATAAACATTGATTTTTTTCATTCATAAGAGTAATGCGTTATGGTAAAAATATCATTTTTAGATTATTTATAGAGAACGTTATCATTTGACGTGATTTAAGTTTGCATAAAAGGTTTATTTTGAAATAGTAAAAATAACTTCAACCTCACTTTTTATAAAATGGTATAGATACATCCTAGCATTTGTTTAACCCTCGTTCTCAGTTCAGTCATATTTTTTGGAAAAAATCAAAGTAGTTTACAATTTTTCAATTTAATCGACTATTTTCCAAAAAAAATCTTATTTCGAGGACTATCGTGTTATTTCTTCCTCTTCAACAAGAAGTTTCATATAAATACATCAGACAACTTCTCAAACTGCGTCAAAAATTTTTAAACTCACGCCGATCGCCTTAAATTCGTCTCGGTTTATCACTACTATCGACAAAAATATAATTTTTTTCGTTATCGATTTTATAACAAATTGGTAACCTCTTTGCGCTGATCTTTTTTTATTCTACTCACATTTCACACTCAACTCTTTTTGTTTCATAAAATTATTTGAATAAACTCAATTCAGTAAAAAATATATACATATTTACAATTTCTATTATCTGTTTTTTTTTTCTTTATTCAAACTGCTAATCACCGGGATGTTCGGGACAGGATCTGTTAATTTCGAACCATTGATCTATACACCTAAAACAAAAACAAAATAAATTAGAATGTTTGTAAGGATGCCAGAAGTTTATTTATAATTAAATTATGTATTTAACTTGTTGCGGCGAATATTCAAGTTGCGTATTATTTATTAAAAAAGGGTAAGGTTCAAGAAGAGGAAATTTAAATATTTATAATAAATAAATAATAAAAGTATAATAAATCCATAAGATGAAATACTAAACGAGAAAACGCATTAGGCAATCGCGGTCCCGTCGCATCGCGGGCTGTGATAGTCTCGATCGCTCGCGGTCTTTGAGATTCTTTGGAAATTATAGAACTTAACCACTCGCGTTCGAGACTAGCACAGACCTCGATGCGACGGGACCGCGATTGTCTAATGCGTTTCCACCTTTATAGTATGAGATCCGACCGTATGATTTCCGCACTCATATCTGTTTTTTAATCAAAATAAAATTTTTATAGATAATTATTGATGGAGAAATACGGTTTTGCCGGGTTGCCTATCAAAATATGGCCGCAAGTACTTTTAATAGTACTTTAAGGTATATTTATAGAAGAAAATTATTTTAACACTAGTTTTTTGTGATGTTATTCTCTATTTTATTGGTCGGTCATATACAAGATTTTTCTAAAATGGACAGTAAAGGAGAAATTTGAAGAAAATTTTTTCAGACCAATAAAAAAGCAAAATAGTTTTTCTTTTCTTTTTATTAGTTATTAATAACCACATTGTATAAATTTGTAGTCGTTTTTTATATTTTCCCTACTTTGTGATTACGATTTTTATGTTTTATTATATAATCCTAGGGTCTAGGTGGCCTCATTGTCCCTAGCTGGGTAAGCCCTTGTCCAGAACATATTTTTAAGTTTTTAGAGTTACTGGTTTTTTAACGAATTTAAATAGTCTAAAACTTGCAATTCAATGATTTATTTTCCCTAAAATATACATTTGGAGAAGTTTCAGTTCATGCAAAGCTTTTTTGAATATATATGTTCTGGGCGCTTTTCCGTTAATATTTGGGCATGGATAAGCGTTTACGATCTTGGAAAGTGCTGGCAAATTGATGGGCTGTTAACAGTAGAGAATTACGTAAACATCTTAGACAACGTGATTTTACCATCAATAGGTAAGAAATTAGTTTGCTATACTAGTAAATGCATATAATAATTGATTTTTATTACAGAATAATTATCCAGTTCATACGCCTCGAATAGTAATGGGTCAACAACAACAACAACAACAACAACAACAACAACAACAACAACAACAACAACAACAACAACAACAACAACAACAACAACAACAACAACAACAACAACAACAACAACAACAACAACAACAACAACAACAACAACAACAACAACAACAACAACAACAACAACAACAACAACAACAACAACAACAACAACAACAACAACAACAACAACAACAACAACAACAACAACAACAACAACAACAACAACAACAACAACAACAACAACAACAACAACAACAAGGCTTTTTGTTCTAAAGAAACTTGATAATAAAGAAGAAACGACTGTTTGCGATTTATTATCTTGTGAATTTTGAGTTTAGTAGTAAAATCACGAATTCTCCACAAAAAGCTTTATGTTGAACTAACAGATGTGAAGAGGGGAAGAATTATTGTTCTCATTGAACAAGGAATGCCCCAAAGAGACGGTAGCAGAGGTGCTAGGCGTTACCCAGAGCGTTTTATTGAAAGCATATGCAAGATACTTGGAAATAGGAACTCTTAAGAACAGGCCCAGACAAAGTCTTCAAAGATTCACACCTGAACAACAAGACCGCTTTGTGTGCCAAATTGCTAGAAGAAATCCCACTGTTTCTCATCCAGAGCTGCAACTACAACTTCTGAAAGCTACAGGTGTGAACGTTTCAGTTGAAACCATAGGAAATAGACTACGCATTTGAGGGTTCTACAGTAGGAGAAAGTTACAGATCCCACAGTTATCTAGGCAGAATAAAATTAACCGGCTAAATTGGTGCCTTCAACACCAAAACTGGACAATTGAGAATTAGCAAAATGTTCTTTTTTCGAATGAGATCAAAATTGGCTCAAGATCAGATGGCCATCGAATTTGGGTTCTCAGAGCTCCAGGAAGACGAGCTAGATTCAAGACTGGCAGATCTGTCCCAAGATATCAAGGAGGAACTGTAATGTTCTGGGGAGGTATTATACTGGGAGCAAAAACTCCATTGTTACCACTTCAACAAACTTTAACTGATTGGAGGTATGTTGATTTAGTGCTAGAACCAATCGTTAGCCATGCACGATAATGCACCTCCCCTTACCAGCAGAGTGGCTAGAGAATGTCTTGAAACGAAAGGTGTCACAGTTTTAGACTGGCCTGCATGTTCACCAGACCTAAATCCTATCAAACACTTGTGGGACTAGCTAAAAAGAAGGGTTAGAGCTCGTCGAAACATTGCAGGAAATAACTCCCAGCATTAGCATTAGCAGAATGGGAAAACATACCCCAAGTCAATGTTGACAATTTAATAAGCATGCCAAGGTGAATAGAAGATTGCATAAGGGCTAGAGGTGGCAACACGGATTATTAAAATTACCACTTTTCTTTTTGTTTTTGACCATTAAAAATTTAAATCTCATTTCGTTTTAGAAACAAAAAAAATACCGTTGTGGTTATTTTGTTCACTAATGTGGATTATTTTTCATTAAATGTCTTCGGTAAGGACTAAGTATTATAAACAAAAAATATTAATACATCTCAAAAATTATGAAAAATAATAGATGATTCCATATAAGTTTGGTTGTGTGATTATCAAAGAGACTTTAGATCAGCAAACCGCATTTAACTATGGGAAGTTATTGAAAATTGAAAAACAGAAACCCTAGAGAGACGAACTGGGAAAGGTATTCAACATCACTTGGAGAGTATCTCGAAGAGGGTATGGTGGAAATAACAGGTGAACAAAGCCTTGACCGAGCAGTAGACCAAGTAAGTAAGGCTATTATAACCGCTTACGAGGAAAACTGTCCGGAGAAAACAAGGCAGCAAAGAACAAAAACAGTCTGGTGGAATAAACACTTGGAACGCCTTAGAGGCGAAGTGCGAAGGCTATTTAATAAAGCCAAGTCAACCGAAGACTGGGCCCTATACAAGGCTAAACTCACGCAGTACAACAAGGAGATAAGAAAGGCTAAAAGGCAATCGTGGAGGAAGTTCTGTGAGGAGTTATCTGAAACACCCACATGCTCTAGAATCCACAGTCTTAGCTAAAGAGGGTGCTGCAAACCAAGTAGGATTTCTCAGGAAAGATGACGAAACCTATACGAAAACCTTCGAGGAAACGTTAACAATGCTCACAGAAGTACACTTTCCGGCCGCAGAAATTTTGCTAGACCCGATAGTAGCATACAGCCCTCAAAGAAGGTCTCGTAGGCCAACTCCTTTGGAATGGAGGCTAGCTACAGAAATATCGAGGCCGAACAAAATTAGATGGGCTACAAACAAATTTCAATCATACAAATCCCCAGGAGTAGATGGAATATATCCCATTCTACTACAAAAGGGACAGGAAATTCTAATTCCACATATGTGTCGCATATTTAAAGCATGTATAGCCTGGCGACACATACCAAAGGCGTGGCAAAAGGTGAAAGTCATATACCTCCCTAAAGTAGGAAGGTTTAATGACATGACGCCAAAGTCGTACCGCCCAATCAGTCTATCTTCATTCATGCTGAAAACGCTAGAAAGACTAATAGATAGATATATACGAGACGAAATACTGAGAGAAAATCCTCTCAGCGACCGTCAATATGCATATCAGCCAGGAAAGTCAACCGATTTGGCCCTGAATGATCTTAACAGGCTATTGTCAAAATCCCTCGAGGATAAAGAAATGGCAGTAGCAACTTTCGTAGATATTGAGGGAGCTTTTAGTAATGCTCAAACAAGATCTATAATTAACGCATTAGCAATAAAAGGGGTACCAGTAGTCCTATGTCAGTGGATAAAAGCCAGCCTAGAAGAAAGGGTAATAACATCATCTCTAGGCGAAGCTACATTGACAGTTAAAGCAGGCAGGGGCTGCCCCCAGGGAGGAGTACTATCACCCCTTCTCTGGTCAGTCCTAGTGGATGAACTTATAAAAAGGCTAATATCTGCAGATTTTTACTGCCTAGGGTATGCCGATGACCTGGCGATCGTCGTAAGAGGCAAGTTCGCAGGTACAATATCGGAGCGCACACAAACCGCTCTAAACATTGTCGACGAGTGGTGCAGAGAGGAGGAACTAACAGTAAACCCTCACAAAACCACAATAGTCAACTTTACAAAACGAAAAGTACCAACAGGACTAAAGTCACCAGTACTGAAAGGAGTGAAGATTCCATTCGCTCAAGAGGCCAAATACTTGGGAGTCATCTTTGACCACAGGTTAACATGGAATCAACACTTGCAAAAAGTCACCCAAAAGAGCACAACGTCCTTCAACTTAAGTCGAAGGTTGTGTGGAAAAAATTGGGGATTACAACCAAAAATGTCCCTGTGGTTATATACCAGAGTCATAAGGCCGATGATAACCTACGGGTCGGTGGTATGGTGGCCAAAGACTAGGCAAGCTGGAGCCATTCGACAGCTCAATGGTATTCAAAGGCAAGCATGCCTGAGTACCACGGGAGCTATGAGAACGACTAGAACAGCAGCTATAGAAGTCATGCTAAACCTAACACTACTACATATATTCATTCAAGGCGAAGCCAGGTCTGTCACATACAGACTGCACAAAGGTTCATCGCCCATAAGCAGTTTGCATGGACGCGACTACAGCGAGCTATAAAAGAGTTGGAGAACGACCAAATAATGGGAATGCCTTCAGACGAAATGCTTCCAAAGTATAGCTTTCAAAAGCAATATAAAGTAAGTATACCAGACAGGGAAGCGTGGACGGGAGGACCTCCTATTCATGCAGATCTCACCTGGTATACAGACGGCTCCAAAACCCATGAAGGTTCAGGAGTAGGTAT